CCTGGAGTGCAACCCAAAGCAGTAGGGCAGTAGGTGCCAAGAGCTGAGAAGTGACCTGGGGGTCTGACCTCACTGACAGGTGTGGAAAGACTAGGGACAGACGAGTAATAGATACATAGAAACCCACGGGTCTGGAAAGACTGGGGATGAACTAGTAATAGTTATGTAGGACCCAGCAAATTATTTTATCTCTGGACTAAACACACAGTTGCGTAAAAAAGAAAGTATGATCATGAGACATTACACATCTCAGCCAAGAATAATACTGACATGATCATGACAACACTGACAGGTTATTTAACCCAAAGGAGAGAGAAACACTGCAGGAGGGAGAAAGGACTCACGTGGTGAGGGGAGAGGTAGAAAAGGTAAGCACTCATCTCCCACAGTAGGGAAACAATAGGTGGTGTCTAATCCAGAACTGATAGAAAAGAGCAGTATCGTTGCAATTGCTAGAAATGCAAAGGTGAAATGTAAAACAGGAAAAGCAAGCATTGAACACGGCTGCCTCCAGGGAGCAGCACCCAGGAGGGAGAAGAAATTGGTGGGGAGGCTGATATTTTTCATTAAGATCCTACTAGAACTAGTTGACATTTTAATCTATCCCTTTGATAAAAATTGAAATTCTATTTATGTTTTATACACACACTGACCTGCCTATATACACACGACCTATATACACACACCTGCCTATCCACAACACACACACACACACACACACACACACACGTGAACACACCTCCAGACACACGTGAACACACCTCCAGACACACGTGAACACACCTCCAGGCACACATAGGTACTTATATACTTATATACATAACACACACTTACATAGTGCACACACACCCCTCCCTACACACACTCACACCATAGGGGCAAAGAAGGCTTACCAATCTCAGGCTCATGGCTGAGGATCTTCTAACAACAATAAAAAAGAAAGAAAGAAAGAAAACAGATTGACAGGGGGAAAGCATACAAATGTGTTCAATCTAAGTTTCAAGGGACCCAGCAGCCTTCAGAAGTGAAGGCTTGAAGAAGCAGAGAAGCTTGCATATTTGTAGCCCAGGCATGGAGGAGTGGGACAAGTCAAAGGGGCGCGACACAGCGGTAATAAATTGGGGAAACTTGTGAGAACTGATTGTTCAGGTTCTCTGAGTCCTTCTGTCTGCAGAGGACAACCCTTTCTTCCCCATGACTTTCACGTGAGGGTCTTGCTTTGGAGGGAAGGTCAGAGAATTCTTTCTAGATGTGCTTCAGAGAAGGTGGGTAGTGGGTGCCAGAGAGACCTTCCTGCTTCCGCTGTCTCCTCAAACAGCAAGATGTCATATTTTGGGATGGTGTGTCCTGAGCCCCATCAAGATGTGTGTGAATGCACAGGCACGTGCACACACACACACACACACACACACACACACACACACATACTCACACACTCACACACAGTATGTTAAAGTGCTGCAACTCATCCTGAATGTGGTGGGGAACTCAGGAATGGCCCCTGTGAAGAAACAGAGGGAAGGGTTCTGAAGAAGTGGAAACAGAAGTCCCCAGGCCATAGAGGAGCAGAAACTTGGCCTCATTCAGTCTGAACCTGAGTTGGCTCTGTGTGCCCAGGAGATGCCTGAAAAGAATTCAGAATGTTTTGGACCCTGCCTGCATCTCATCAGGGGCCTGCAAATACCACCTTGGGCCTCACTGTTGTCATTCTGAATGTTTCTCTCTTAATATCAGAAGGTTTTAGACCATAAAATCTAGCATTCTTTTATAATACAGAGCATCAGTCTCGCCCAAGTGGAGTGTATAAAATCTGGTAATGAGGTACGATAAATCTACTTTCTGTGCAGATCTGGGGTCTATAATCCCTACATTTAATTAACATGCCTGAAACAGTGCACAGCCACTCGGTTTCAACCCAGTTCTCTCTGGAGTCCGCATCATTCCTCACTCTGCTCAACGCAGGCAGCGCTCGCTCCAGCTATGTGGGAGCCCAGCCAGGAGCTGAACCGGCTCAGCAAGAACCCCAAGTCCCAAGAGCAGCAACCCTCTTCGCAATCTTGGCTTTGGATGGCTGCTGGGGAGTTTGGACTTCCTGGCCTCTGGACTAGGGAAAGGAAACCTGGAAACTATGTTCAGAAACCCACAGGAGCCCAAGTCAGGGCTGGGTGACTTCCTGCGTCTTGGGCAGCAGTGGCCCTCTGCGGGGCCCTCCCAGGGAGGAATATAGGGTACAGGAAAGGAAAACCAGGCCTTTCCTGGGGCAACAGGACACAAGTCCTGCGTTCTCCTGACCCTTCCTCTCTCGCTCCACTCACCCCTTGGTTCTCAGCCTCTCACATCACCGCTCTGGCAGGAGCTCTCTCCCTTTAGTGATGGCTTGTCTGATGGACAGTCCATACTGGCCACCACACATCCAGGGAGTGTGACCAAGTGGGTTGGGGGTGGGACTTGGCCATCAGCCAGGGGAAATTCCTACAGAGCTGGCCAAATAGGAGGCCTGGGAAGTGAAGAGCGTCCAGGGGAGCTTGGAAGGTTCCGTAGACGCTGGCGAGGTAGGCTGTGCACCCTCCACTTGGAGCAGTCACCCCAGTGCCACCCCAGCCCTGGGCCCCATATGGCAGAGAAAGAAAAGATTTCATGTATGGTTTGGAGTTTAGGTTTTGGTGCTTTTGGCTTTTTGTTTTACTTTAAGCAGAAGAGCACTTAATTTTTGAAGTAAGAAAGTGCCCCACGGTGGTCCCTGTCATGATCCTGGTCTGGGTTTTTTCTGTTCTTCCCCCAGGTCCAGGGAGCTCAGGGGTCTTCTTCCATATCCGTCTATTAGCAAGAAATGGAACATGTCTCCCTTCTGGGTTCCTGCCAGGCTGAGAGGAGCACACGGAGTCTCCTCCAGGGTGAAAGAAATAGGGAAGTCAATGATCCAACCACCAGCCCCAACCTGCCGAGAGGTCTCCAGATTCACCTGCTATGGTCTGAATGTCTGCATCCCCCCAAAATTCACAGGTTGAAATCCTAACCACCAAGGTGATGGTTTGGGAGATCAGGACTTTGGGAGGTGATACGGTCATGAGACCAGAATGCTCATGAATGGGATTAGTGGCCTCATGTACGGAAGAGGGCCTGGGAGATCCCTCACCCCTCCCACCACAAGAGAACCTAGGAAGAAATGGACCACCTGTGCTCCAAGAAGCAGTCCTCAGCAGACCTCGGCCATGCCAGCATTCTGACCTGGGGCCTCTAGCCTCCGGAACTAAGGAATAAGTATCTTTGTTTAGAAGCCACCAGTCAATGGAGTTGGGATGGAGCAGAATGAGACACTGCAGTAGCTAAGCACAGGCCAGTGTTCCCTTCACAAGAGGCGTGAAGGCCTCAGAGCCACCTCTGAGGCCTGGCCCTATCACATGTAGCTGTCACCTACTCCTCTAACCCTCAGTTTCTTCCCCTCAAAATGTTTTTGTATATTCTTTCATGGAAGATTCAGCAGCACCTGGGGTGTGCAGTGAGTCCCCTCCCCTCACTGGAGAGCAGTTGCTACCTTCCCGCTGGGCCAGCCCCTCCCACAGTGCACGCCCTTGAACGTCTGCAGAAATCTTCATTCTGGGCAGGACTTCTTATTTTTGTAAGCAATGATCACTTGGGGCCTAGACTGCTGATGAGTCAGCTAGAGTCGGATCTTGGTCCTGACACTGACACACCACGTGTGGTCTTGGGCAGATTACTTCCTCTCTCTGGGCCTCAGTTTTCTCATCTTTGAATGGGGGTGCTGGACTCTACCATTTCCAAGGCTCCTTCCACTTGAGATTGCAAACCTACATCTCTCAATGGGAAGATTATTGGGAGCCAACGGTCCACACCGATCCGTGTATGAAAGTTAGATAAACTGTTTCCAGGACGTCTAGAGTTGGGAACCACTCTGCACACTCACTCACCGACATCTCAAGTAACAGAAAGACAAAGCAACCAGGCATGGACTTTCAAGATGACCATGGGAAGCAGCCCGTGTTTATCAGAACCAGAACTTGACAGCAGCTCAGATGCCGTGTTGACCAATCCTGTCTTAACAGATCCTAGGGCTCACTCAACCCACCCAGACAAAGAGGGCCTCACTATTCCAGGCAGGAAGTCTAAGCCCCCTGCCCTGCCCTGGTCCGTCAGTAAGACACACTCTGATCCGTGTTTCAACCCTTTGATCCCAATTTCAAATAATTAAGGAGGGTTCTGTGGCTTCCTCTTAAGCAGCTCAGTGTCTCAGATCAGAAGCGAGGCTCTGAGGCATGCTGGGAGCTCTGCCAGTTTGGGGGAGGGGTAGATAATTAAGGAAATCATGGTGAATTAAGCTTTCTGCAATGAAGCACAAACATCTTTTCACAAACAGAAACATCATGTTAGCTTATGTTTTGCCAAAGAAAAAGGCAGGGCCGATCCTCCGGGTTTTCAGCTTGGTAAAACACATCTGGCTACTGAACCAAATATTTAAGGGTCATTAAAATCCCAAACTCCTTTTGCCAAGAACTTTTCTCCTTTGTTATTCAAGTGCAGAGCAGTTATGGAAAATGTGTTCCATATGCTTTGTGCTGCGTTCCTATTTACTTCATCAAATCACGGCTTTGTAAGAGCTATTTGATGTCAAAGATGCGTTAAGATTTTATAGACTTTACCAAGGCAGCTTTTAAAGCTTCTCCCTTTGAACCCGAGACATTTGCCAAGAGTAAACAGAACCGAAACCACCAGGGGTCAAGGGCTTTGTTGGAAACAAAGACCTCAGCTTGATCAAGGGCTTGCAGAGGTTGGGGCAGGCATGCACTTCTACCCATTTGCCAAGATGCTCCACAAAAGATCATGTTTCCCACGTAAGTTACATTAAAATAAATGCACTAATGTATTCATATTTTATTAATAATATAACACCCTCACCCACCACCTCCCACCAAGATGCAGGGACACAAGACAGTCATGCACTTAAAATATTAACAGAACTTCAGAAAGTTGGAAAATGTATCTTGAAGCCATAAGTCGAAATTTATTTATAAATTTTTTTCCAGCAAGGGTTTCTCAGCCTTGAGAGAAAAGAGAAGCAGACATAGACCTTGGAAGAGCAGGCAAGGCCAGAATTGACACACCCTGAGGACACAGAGCTAAGAGGACATTCTAAAGTAGCTCTCACTTAGCAGCTGGAGAAACTGAGGATTGATTCCAGGGCTAAAAACACCTGGATCAGGAGCTCCCAGATTCACCCATTTTGGGATCTTTTTCCTCCTTCTCTTCACTGGATCTCTGCTTCTCCCAATGCCTCTCTCCTCACCAAATTCCTTCTCCACTCACCAAGAAGTTGACTCTAAAACTTAAATCAGACCATGTCACTTCTGTGCATTCTTTCCCTAACTGTCCAACTTTCAACGGTGACTACTCGCCCAGCACAACTGCCCCTGCTAACCTACTCATCCCCCTGCTCACTCTGCTTCCCCCACTCTGCTGCCTTCCATCCCCTTGAGTCCACCAAGTGCATTTCTGCCCCAGGACCTTTGCAGGGACAGCCCTTTCTATTGGGGTGCTCTTCCTTTCTCTGTAAAATGCATCTTATGGCTCTCAGCTTAAACTGTAACTCTCCAAAGTTCTCTTTCCTGGACATTCAGTGGACAGAAACCAGGAAGGCCTTTCTGACTCTGGTCAGCTAACATCTGACCTCCCACCCAGGGCAGACAGTTTCATGAGGCCATGCAAAGAAGTGCTATATATTATTTTCTGCTGTGACCTTAGAGCCCAGCACAGTGCCTGGCTACAACAGGCACTCAGTAAGCATAGTTTAGTAAGAGTCTCCCAGCCCTGGGCTCCTTACATTGATGGGAAATTAAAACAAGAAGGAGGAGGAGGAGGAATAAAAGAAGAAAGAAGAGAAAAGAAAGAAAAAAGGGCCAGATTTATGCTGAGAACCCAACTCGGTCCTCTTGCTTTCTCTCTTTCTAGTGCAGCCCTCTCCTTAGCTGTCCAGGGACGCTGCCTTCTTATAACTTCCTTTTTCACTCCTCCACCCCAGTTCTCAGGTCCCCCAATTACTCTTAAGATTTCAGGATCTCCCGACAGTTCAGAATGCGACCCTTCTGAAGAAATATGGAAATTGTATTGGGATCAGAACTTAAAATAACAGTGACCCTTCCTGGTGGAAACCTAGGCAGCCCTCTGGTGGGGTGGCTGCCCGTGTGAAGTCTGGGTCTTTCCTGAGACCTCGCATCACTGAGAACTGGAACTGATGAGGTGGACTTCTGCAGGCATACGCACTCCCTGTGACTTTAAGTGGCATCTTCTGTTCCCACGTATCTCCCCAGATGTTCACATCTGTATTTTTAACATGGATTTTTGTGTTGAGGAAAATGAAGCTGCTGAGATCCAATGGTTGTGACCTCTCACCGCCAGCCTCGCTCTTCTCCAGGGAGTCTCGAAGGAGACAGCAGTCACCTGAGCCAAGAGACTGCAAAGAAGAGCAGAAGTCTATCTGTCCTTCCACAAATATGCCTAGAACCTAATATGTTCTTGCAGACCTTTTCCTGGGGACCCCATGGAGAACAAGACCAGCCCATCTCCCAAGGGGAAGGCAGACATTAGGCAAATTACTGAAGAGCTTTTATTTACAGAGAATCATCTGTCTGATGACCCTGTTTCAAACTGGCATGTTGGAAAGGCTTCCCAAAGGAGGCAGCATTTGAGGCAGAGTCTTGGCTGGGGAACGCGCCCTTGGAGTTGAATGGGTGCTGGTCAGGGAGAAAGGTGCATGCTCCAAGCCTGGCTCAGGCATGATTCTGTGCATGGGCTTCCTACTCTGTTCTACCTGGCTCACCTTCCAAATCCTTCTGGCTGCACCTGTCCTCCTATCACTCCCCATACCACTGTCTCCGATTGAATTCCTTCTCTTTACCTAGAATTGATATTCCAACAGCCCCCACTCCCAGGGTCCCCAGCCCAGGGATCATCCGCTCTCAGAAACAGATCTCCCCTGGAAGCACAGTCCCAGGCATTTGGGCAGCAGGAGGAACTGGAGCTGAGCTACCCAAAGGAATGCACTCATTGCAAGAAAGATCTTACAGGAAGCTCAACCTGGAGGCATGATGATCAGGTGCAGTGGGGGTGGTGGAGCAGGAGGAAGAGTGGGGGATCCAGCCCAAGGTGATGGCAGGAGGGTGGAGGGAGGCATGGGGTGGGGGTGGCACTGCAGTGGGAGGACAGGGCAAGCAGACACAATTCCCAGGCTCTGTGGTGGCATCAAGGTCCTCTGTGCTTCCCTGTCCTCAGAAGTGGGTGCCACCTGTTCCTCAGGAGCCGTCGGGACTCACAGGTAATTTTAAATTCAACTGAACAGAGATGAATATATTCAAAGAGGCTCCAGGTCCAGCTCAACCATTTCCCTAGGGATAATTTTGGCAAAATGTCTGTTATGAATCAATTGTGTGCTGGGGCAAGGAAGAGAGAGAAAAAAGATAAGCGGAGTCTCTGACCCCAGGCCTCAGAAACAGAATCTGTCTTTACACCTTTAGATGCTAGGGCAAAAAGAGTCGGTAAATAATTCAACAATCCCAAGCAGTTGATTCTGAACAGCAAACACAGCCTGCTGAGAGGAGAGCCAAGGGAAAGGGGGCCCCAGGTAGTGAGGGACCATGGGGACCAACCACCACCAACCTGCATCCTACTCAGTCCTTCCACCAAGGCAGGTGCTCAGGGCTGTTTAGGTGCATTAATACTGTCAGGAACAAGAAACGGAGTAAAGGACTTGTCATTAAGCGGGGAAAATAAAACCATGCCCAATCAGCATCTGACCATAATCAGACTCCAGTTTTGCCACTCTTGGCTCCTCCCCAGCTAATCTCTCAGGGGTTAAAAAAAAATCACTTCCCAGGTCCTGGACTTCTGCAAACACATGCCAAGAAGCATATGGTGTAAGCTGCAAATGACAGAGACAAGGCTCAAATACTAAAAAGATAAAAGTGATGAGTGATTTATTTGTAGACTTAACCAAAAATAATATTCCTAGAGCAGTAGATAAGGCATTTCCTCTCCTCAGCTTCCTTCTGGGGCTCAATCCCATTCTCTCTGGCTTCCCATGACACTACCTTCCCAGGAGGGAGAACGGCTGCATCCAGGATACTTATTTAGCATCTAGAGACAGAAAAGAAACTCTCTTCCTTCTCCAGTGGATGAAAACCTAGGGAAGAAATTGACTGGTTGATTTGGGTCATGTGTTACCCCCTGGACCATGCCCTTGTGTCCCCCCGGGAAACAGTGCTCTGATTGGCTATGCTTGAATCAAAGGAAAACCTCAGCAAGAGAAGCTGGTTCCATGACTGCCAACATCATGAAAGTTACAAGGAATGGGCCCTCTCCAAAGAGAGGAATGTGCTATAATTATGTTGTTGTTGATTATGATGATGATGATGATGATGATGATGATGAAGAGCAAGAAAGGCATGCTAGATGCCTCCATTTACCCATGTCCTCCATACTTGTGGAACCCTCTATTACTGCTACAGACACGTTGATGAAAGGACAAAGCCACAATCACCCTCTAAATATCTTAAATATGCTTCCAACTGTTCTTCCCCTGGCAGGGAGCCAAATGTCACAGCAAGGAAAATATATGCATTGGTGTCAGACAGATCTGAGTTCAAACATCAGCTTTCCAGCATGCTAGCCATACAATCTTAGGCAAGTTGGTTAAATTTCATGAGCTCCATCCCCTCATTTACAAAGCAAGCAGCAAGAGCCAATACCTCATATGCATTGAGGATTAAATGAGAAAAACATGTGAAGGACTTAGCACACAGCGTCTGACACAATGACATCAATAAACATTTGCTCAATGGGTGAATTAATTAATTTGAACTTCACAGGTCAGAGAGGACCTGGTTTGATTGCCCCAGTTCCATCACTCAGGAGCAGAATGAGTTTTGCCTTTCTAGTAGAAAATAGATGGGGGCACAGTTTAAAGTTCTAGGACAGGAAAAGTCCAAGGGTTCAATGGCTAGCCACGTGCTGCGCAGAGAAAGGCAAGGTTCTTGAATGCATACCCACGGTGACTATATGGCACACTGTTCTTGGGCACAGCCAACAAGGAGCTTGACATTGTCCTGAGAACTTGATGCATTTGATCTTCATGCCAAACCTTTGTGCTCCTGGATGCTATAAATACCCACTGTTCATAGACAAAGAAACAAACTCACAAGAAACGACAATCCTCCAAAAGAAAATGAGAGTAAACAGAAGGAAGGAGAATACATGCTAGAATGGGGGCGAAAAGGCAGATATTTACCATGCCTATTTCTGAACCATGGTAAGCTACCAAAAATTACCTGTCGCTCTTGCACGACAACAGGATGACAAAACTGCCTTCCACCTGCACAGAGGGAGACACCCCCTCCAGACACCCCTGGACCTGAGCCTCACTCGGCATTCCAGGGGAGAGGAGGTGGCATTCGTGCCTCCTTTGACACTCAGAGAAATAAGCTTGGAAAGTTTAAGTAACCCAATTATGGCCACATAACTGCCTAATGGTGAAAGCCAGGGGCCAAACATGACTTGGTCTGATGGGGGAAAGATGGAACTCAGATGACCATGGTACTCTTTTTATTATACATATATGGAAGGTAACTGTCAGTTTTAATATTGCACAGACTCAGGGAGAATCTTAAAGGGCAATAGGTAAACTCCCTGACCAACTTGGGAAATTTCTTTCAGCCCTTCCCCAGAAGGAGAGGAAGGAATAGGGTGCAGAATCAGGAATAGAGACACCCCCTTAAACTATTCCTTGATATGTCAAAAACGTACCAAATGGACTACCAGAGAGTTGACAAATATATCAACAGTTGTAATTCTCAGTGATCAACAATATGCCTAACTCTGCAGAGAGGGAATTTAAAATTCTAGTAAGTTGTATCGAGACATATAAGTTATGGAATATGTATCCTTTGTTAATGAAATGCCCCATCCTGAGCACTGTGGTACACACACCTGTCATCACAGCTACTTGGGAGGCTGAGCAAGAGGATCACATGTTCCAGGCCAGCCTGGGCAACTTAGCAAAGCCCTGTCTCAAATAAAATAAAAAGGGGTAGGGGTAGCTCAGTGGTAGAGCACCTCTGAGTTCAATCCCTAGTAACCATACAAATAAACATAAACAAAATGCTCCACAGCTTGAGATCTTGAAGTCTAAATGTTGGATCATCGCCTATGAAAGGGATTTGGCTAACAGATCATTTCCTACACCTTCAGAGAGATTAAAATTTTCTTTACACATGATATAGAGAGAACACGTAATTTATTGTCCAGACTGGAACACTTTTAAGAGTAAATAGGGATATGACAAATCATTATGTCATGACCATAAGTGTAAACCAAGATAGTCTCCCCAATTAGAGGAAATCATTAAAAATCATTCATTCACATTGGATGTGGTGGTGTGTAACTATTATCCCATCAACTCAGAGGCTGAGGCAGGAGGATTGCCGAGCTGGAGACCAGCCTGGGCAGTTTAGCAAGACCCTGTATCAAAATAAACTAAAATGAAAAGAGCTAAGGGTGTAGCTCAGTGGTAGAGCACTTGTCTAGCACATGGAAGACTCTAGGTTCAATCCCAATGTTGAAAAAAAATTTTTTCACACAGTTAACATCAAGTGTTTGATATCTTGCTAAAAACATCTTCACACATGTTTCATCCGTCTCTTTCGACTATGCTTCTCCATGGGATTCCTTGACAGAAATTGTTAGGGGAAAGTGCAGATAAACATACATTTCCAGCAAAGGTTTCTGTGGTGGTTGCTCATTTAGTTAAAATGGCTTTTAAACGTTATCTTTGGGTAATCTCAATTGGCTCCAGAACAAGCACACAGCAGGGGGCTAATCAAGATTTAGCAACCTGCGGCTAATTGCAATTTCTCTTGCTTTCTTTTCTAAATCATTTTCTTTGTGTGTCTTTGAATTTCAGTTGTGGGGTCTGGCCTGCTCACAGGGCTCTACCCCAGCTTGTGGAACATCTGTCCCTCTCCTTCCCAGGCCAGGAGGACCCAGGTGGGTGGATAGTAGAGTAGTGGGATTTGGATATGACTGTCACCCATCCAGACTGAAAAAATAGAGCCTGTTAAGGCAGAATTCTTAGGTGTAAAGATTTGGGATATTCATGACTGTCTTAACATTCTCCCCCTGATTTCTCATAGGAAAACTTTTCCAGCTAAAAGTCATTCAATCCCCCAAATCCTTTCCATGGATAGGATTTTTTTTTCTTTCTCCAAATATCTTTACCCTGTAAAGGCTTTTATTTTTTAATACAACAAAGGGAAAAGAAAACCTAAGAAAATGAGCTCAGTATTACCATGGCCACCCCCACAAAGGGCAAGCTCCATTATTCAACAGGCACAAGGCCTGTTCCAGGCACTGGGGATGAGCCAGTGCCCTTCCACAGGGGATCAAGTCAAAACCACATTGACTTTTGCTAATACAAATTTGAATCCTGTAAATTCTTAGTTGTATGAAGAAAGGGTCCTTAAAACAGGATAATTAAAAACTGTGACTTGAGATTCTTCTGGAATCAATGGTCTTTCCCAATTTTTCAATGGGAAGCTAATAAGTTATATGAACTCTAGAAGTGGATATTTGGAGTAGGGTCCTATAAGATGAGTAGGTAGATGTCCAGGAGGTAGGAGTGAAGATCAGAAAGAGTGGGAAGCACTGGGCATGGTGGCCCATGCCCGTAATCCCAGTGGCTCAGGAGGCTGAGGCAGGGAGATCACAAGTTCAAAACCAGTCTCAACAACTTAGTGAGGCCTGAAGTAACTGTCTCAAAATAAAAAACAAAAGGGCTGGGAATGTGCCTCAGTGGTAAAGCACCCCTAGGTTCAATCCCTAGTACCAAAATAAAGAAACAATTCCTAAAAATCCAGTGGCCAAAGTTTCTAGTTTAATACATGAGAGATTGAAATCAAAGGATGGATAGACCTTGCATTTGCCAAGTGCAAAAGTACGAATACAATCAAAATGGCAATCAGAATCCCCGGCTCTGGTCCAGTATTTTTCCCATTATACCATTTGATGTGAGGATCTTCCCAGATTTGAACTAGTAAGTGAAAATTGGTCATTGTTGGCCAAGAAGACTCTGTGTGCATACACACACACACACACACACACACACACACACACACTCCTCACCTGAGAAGACCAGCCACACTGGCTCCAGGGCTCAGCTGTACCTGACACATGTGTCTCATGGACAGTAAAAGGATCAGCTGACCTCTGTAAGCAACATGAGAGAGAGAAAATATTAACAGTTATTTACATCATGAGATTTATCTTCCTGTTCCTCCAAAAACAGGTATATCCACAACAGAATCCTGTTTTGCTGAGTGAGGCAATAGAAAAAAATATCAGTTGGTAAAGATAAAAGATTTCTCAATTGCTGGAAGTCAGGAGTAAGCAAATTACAGCCTGTAGGCCAAATCCTCTCCACTTCCTGGTTCTGTAAAAAAAAAAGATGAACTCTAGACAGGGCAGAGGGGTAGGAGGGGAAGGGAGGGGGCAGGGGTTAGCAATGATGGTGGAATGTGATGAACATCATTATCCAAAGTACATGTATGAAAACATGAATTGTGAACATACTTTATATACAAACAGAGATATGAAAAAATGTGCTCTATATGTTTAATAAGAATTGTAATGCATTTCACTGTCATGTATAAAAAAATAAAAATAATTTAAAAAATAAAATAAAATTGAAAAAAAAAAATAAAGTTTTACTGAAACAGAGCTGCACGCACCCATTTACCTAATGACCATGGATGCTTACTTTGCTACAAGGACAAATGGAATACTTGTGACAGAGAACATGCAGCCCACAAAACCTAAAATATATGCTATCTAACCCTTTGCAGAAAAAGTCTGATGACTCCTAGTCAAAAATAAAAGCATACAAAAATCAGAGAAGCCTAGGACAGAGAGGTAAAATGGAAGGAAACAGACTGAGATGGAAAAAGAAAAAAGCACTTTATGGAGATACAGGGGAGCAGGGGTGAGGTGATTTGACAATTGGGTTTTTAGATTTTTGCTGCCTAACACACCGAACTAGATACTCCCTTGGGATTCCAAAGCTTCAGTTCAAAATACCTGCATTATTTTTCAAAACTTTGGAAATTATATTTGTGGCATCTACTGAGGTCAAGTTCTGTGAAATTTGTCTACAGACAGGAGGTCCTGGGTATGTCCAACAATGACCCAAGGAGGGACATCACATTTGGGTTAAAGGAACATAAAGGCTGGGCAGAGTGGGACACGCCTGCCATCCCAGAGGGTCAGGAGGCTGGATCAGGAGGATTGCAAATTCAAAGCCAGCCTCAACAACTTAGCAAGGCCTAAGCAACTTAGCAAGACCTTTTCTCTAAATTAAATATAAAAAACAGGCTGGGGATGTGGCTTGGTGGTTAAGTGCCCTGGGTTCAATCCTTGCTACCAAAAAGAAAAAAAAAAACACCAAGGTTTTCAAGAAAGGCCTATGTAAATATAGAGATATTAAGACTTTGTCCCCTTTCCTCTTTCTCCTGTGCCACACCATTCTAGCCATGAGATGACTGAAAATGAGACCTGAATCCTTGGGGAGCTCAATGCAATGACAATGATGGTGATTTGAGAGCTGGCTATTATATCGGATACTCCCTTTTCACTACCTCAGCAGGAACTCCTGTTATTTGGCCCATTTTACAGGTACAGAAATTGAGGCTCAGATTAAGCAAGCAGCAGATGTTAGTGCCAAGTCCAAGATATATTATAAACCTGGCCCCAAAGGACATTCCCATGATTTTGCCCCTCCCCCATCTTCAGAGAATTCCAGACTATTAGTACCTCCAGAGATGCCAGCCAGGTGCCCACCTCGTCGTCAAAGACTAACCAGTCCCCACAGACAACCTCCTCAAGAGTTCTGAAAGCACTGGAGGGTACTCCACTCCCAATGCCCCCCTTCTTTTCCAGAGAATTCTTCTGTTTCTTTCACTACACTTATAAGCTCTTCCTATCCACTCGTAATTCTTGCTCTCTTTCTATGGAGTGAGAATTACAGGATAACACTCTCACGAAACATTAGGAGTTGGTGACAAAGAGCACTTCCAACGGAAATGCAGGACAAGCCATGACAAAGCAAAGTATCCCACCCAATCTCAGGCAATTGCAAGACACCAGACAAACACGCCTTTTCAAATTTCCCAGTGAACCAGTCCAGAGAGCAAACCTACTCTAATAACTGAAGCAATGTGATTTTTTTCTTTCAGGAGAGAAACAATTATTCCTCATTCTAATACAAGAAAGTCCATTCTCCCAAAAGTCTGTTTTAAGAATGTGTCGTGATATATACTGAACAGGAGCCTCAGCAACATTTTAGAGTAAAATCTCCGAAAATTGTCATCAGGCACCCTTACTTACTCAACATGTTCTGCAATGCTGTGTTTATTCAACATCTAACAAATGCTTGTTAAGGATGGGGAAAATTGTGGGAGTGCCGTGTGCAGGGGCAGATCTACCTCCAACACTTGAACCAGAGACTCAGCCACCAGAGAACTCTGGGAAAATAACTGAGGATTTCAACAAATCATACAGTTTTCTCTTGGCCTATGCTGGCTCCAAGGGACATTCTCATGTTACATGTCCCATGCTGGTTATAGGCCCCACCCCCACTGCAAAGAAGAAAGTAATTGGCCAGTCTCCAGCTGTCCATTGCAAGGTGAGAGTGTGACTGAGAGTGATGGCTGAAAAGTGGCCCCCTTCATCTTCCAACCACCCAGAACTTTGTTTAAGAAAGCAAAATTAGTGGGGCCTGGTGGTGCACACCTGTAATCCCAGCAGCTCAGGAACCTAAGGCAGGAGGATCATGAGTTCAAAGCCAGCCTCAGCAATAGTGAGGTGCCAAACAACTCAGTGAGACCCTTTCTCTAAATAAAATACAAAATAGGGCTGGAGATGTGGCTCAGAGGTTGAGTGTCTCTGAGTTCAATCCCCAGTGCACTCTTCCCCCCCAAAAAAGAAAGAAAGCAAATCAAAGAGAAAGGAAGCTCAGGCAGGCCCCACCCAGCCAGGACCCCCAAGGTTTCTCTGCCTGCAGGCTCTGACAGTGCCATCCTGCTGGAGAAAATGAAGCTCAAGGACTCTTTATTTGATTTGAGTGGGCCTAGAGTGGGCTCTTCACTGTCCCTCACATCTCTAACACAAACCTCCCAGTCTCCTGCTGTGCTCACCCCAGTACTCTTTCCCAGGGAATCTCAGCCTCAAAAGGACTGAAAGATGGAGCCAGGAAGTGGGGCTGGTTTGGACCTGCTTTGGAGGCCTCATCCAGGTCCTGAGCATGGGGAAGAGGTCTCAAATCAAGAACAGCAAACAAATGGAAGTTAGAAAAAGCAGAGCTGGGTGGAGGTGTAGACTCCACCTGCTGGCCCTCTCTGGGCACCCCAAGAGACACAGATTCCAAAGAGGAGAAGGAAGAGATGGCAGCAGTAGCAGGAGGAAACCCCACCCCTGTGCTCCTCGGTGCACCCTGAAGGAGCCCCTCCCACAGGCAGTGAAGGCCAGGAGGCGGGCAGCACCCAAGAGCCCAGATGGAGATGTCAGCTCAGGGAAGGTGAGGTGCGGGCCATGGCTGAGGACATGCCGGTACAATCAGGTGATGACTCACGGTGTGTGACTGCCAAAAGCCCTTTACAGGGCCACCTAGGGTTGAGTGTAACCTGTGTGAGACATCTCTCCTATGCTAAGATTAAGAATGCCATGCAAAGGAAAATAAGCCAATCCCAAAAAACCAAAGGCCGAATGTTCTCTCTGCTATGCACACAATAAGGACGGGGTGGTGAGAGAAGAATAGAAGTTCAGTGGATTGGACAAAGGGGAATGAAGGGAAGAGGGGGGTGGTGGAAATAGGAAGACAATAGAATGAATCGAACAGAACTTTCCTGTGTTCACATGTGAATACGTGACAGTGAAACTCCACAACATGTACAACCTCAAGAGTGGATCCTAATTAGAATAAGTTACACTCCGTGGCCGTACACTGTGTCAAAATACCCTCTACTATCATGTATATCTAAAAAAACAAATTAAAAAATAGTGTAAGAAAGATTAAGGACACCAGCATCCCTGACTTTTTTTATTGTCAGAAATTCAAGGAACTGTGGCCAGATTTCCCACTATGAGGACGGCTTCCCCAATCTGGAGAGATCTGAAAAATGATGACATAAGTAAGAACCAAGCCTCAGGGTCCTCGGCCTATTTGGCCTATTCCCCCTGGAGCTTGGACACTGTCCTGCTTTAGGGCAGGAGTTCCCAAGGGAGACTGCTTTGGAATGAGTATCTTCCACCCTTCCTATTGGACCTAGTGTAGTTGGGGAAGGAGGCCATCTAGATCTGTAGACACACAATCTCTCTCCTTTGGACCTGTCACCTCTCCCTTTCTGGGCCAGGGTTTGAAACGGGATGAAATGGGACAGTTGTCTACAAAACTCTAGTGTAAATACAGCACTCCTCCATCATCTGTTCTTCAGCTTCACTCCCCACTTACTCTCTTCTACACCGATTGTACTTTTGATTTTGGACTTCTGCTTTCCCAGCAGCTCGAAGGTGGAGTCCCAGAGCGCGGCCCACTGAGGAAGGAAAACAGGATGGTTCTCAGCTTCTGTGTTTCTAATGATATTGGCCAGCTGTTTGAACAGAGAGCCTGCGTGCTGTAAATAAAGCAGAGTGGGCTCTTGGGTTTAAAAGAAAAAAAATTTGTTGAGTTCCTGTGGCAAACCAGGCGTCGTTCTAAGCATGAAGATCATGTTCATGAACAAGACAAACATCACCCCCGCCCCCAGGAGATGGCACAGTCCAATGGCATCCAACTAAAGATCCGGTCAAAGGGTTCAAATTAGAGAGAGAGGAAAGTATAAATGTCACTCCTCCCAAGATGTTGCTCCTTCAGGAGATCTAACAGCATTTAGTTTGAGATGCCAGAAAGAAGTCACTAGGTTAAATGTGGCCTGAAATCCCAAATGTTAAATTGCTCAGCATTTGCAAATATACATTCTAATAAAAACATATCATGCATACACATTCAAAACATATAGGTGTGTTTAAACTGTACCCCTCTCTCACTCCTGCCTTTCTCCAAGCTGCTGCACACATTTACAAGCCTGCTGGCCTCTGCGGGTTTCGGAGTGCTCACTGAGAGGGTGGATCGATGGATGGATCATACCCCTCAATCTCTTCCAAATGCAGTATGTTCTTAA